TCAAAACTCTATATCCACCGTTATTGCAGGAAAAAATGCTGGGACTAGGGGTATGTGAATGGGGCTACATAAGCTGCTTTTGCCCAGGGATGTTCAGGGAGGCAGTTCACAGAGTAATAATTTAACTGACGATTCCTTCTGTTTTGCTTGAAGGCGGTTGTTTTCGAACCACTGCATAGTGAACCAGCAAAGGCGTATCTAGGAAAGACTACTTAGGACTAACTTATTCTTCTCCCGAGAGAAGCCTATAAAATAATAAATAGGTAGCTTTTTGGTGCCTATTCGGGACATTTTGCTCGAAATGCAAAATGCTAATTTTTATGAAAGAAAATCAATTTTTTTCATTCTCTTAAGAGATATAGTTAAAACACTTCTGGCCTCTTTTAATGTTTGCTTCTAGAACAACATGCATAAATAAAATGTTTTCATCCGTTTCGTTTATTGACGTATGACATCCCTTGGATAGCAAGGAACGTTCGATTTTGTCGAATTCTGGTTTGTTTTTCCTTCAATAAATTGATCGGAACCGAATTGTTCTTCAGTAAACAGCTTCTTGCGCCTCAACTTAATTCAATAAAAATAACTACCAATCGCAACTGTGATTTAAACCACCCCTCAAATTTCGATCAAGATATTTAATAATTTAAGCAATCTACTGTATATATCGCAGGGGGTTAGGTGAGTTAAACCCTGGCAACTGCAATCTTCAGGCTCGGTTGCTTAAAAGAAGAGAGAAGTCATCGGACGGCCAGAGTTGTAGGAGGAGTGTATTCTGTACATAATAAATGAGAGAATAGGAGTAGGAAAGTGACTATCAGACGACCGCACAACCGCAAGCCAACGGACGGCGTCTGTACTGATGTTTGCTCGGTAGTCATCAAATGAGGTTCTGTGTGAGTCGGCCTGTGATTGGCTGTCACAGAGGCCGGAAACAGTGAGCGTTCACAAATGCACTTCGATATGAACTAGTCACGACAAGCGTTCACAAGTGCACTTTGTGTGGAATTAGTCATTAAAGTGGATTTGGTCAACTACACCAAAAGTTTAGATATTCGCTATAAAAATTGCTCAGAATTTACACTTGTTTGAATCAGCGCTTCTAGCCTACTTCAAATTGAAAAAAAATTCTGCGTGTCTTCCTGATTGAACTTCCGGAAACTAGAGCCTCTCCGCTTCTTATGTTTTTTTACCTTCGTATAGTCAGCCGTTCGGGTTCCGTCGAGTTGCGGGAGGCATTTAACGCCTGCATTAGCAGTCTGGAGAAGTTTCGAAGGGACCACGTACAAATCGTTCACAGGTATATGCATTTGGAGTGTCCGTTTTCAGCTTCATAACGCCTGTTAACGTAGGTTCATATTGGAACCGGCGCGTAAGTACGCAACCAACGTCGAAAGCCTCAAGAACGAGGGCACAGGTGGTCAAGGTAAGGGGATTATCTTTTGTTTTCGGCAGGAGTTTCCTTGGTAGTGGTCTTGGATACAACAAGCCGTAGGTTGTTTTCATACGGTAACCGTGAGGGGGTTTTTTTGTGTTGGTAAAACTGATTTACCAAAAAGGATTTTGTGAAAATAAGAAAAACAAATTCGTAAAATTTTGTTGAAATAATTAAATACGGTGGCTATAGGCCGACGGCGTTGGGCGCATAAATCGAAAAAAGGCGCAAAAAACAAATCGAGCACAAATTGAGATCGAATCGAGCATGAATCGCTGTCGACAAACTTGGAAATGTGGAGTTTTATTCCGAAAACATTCCCTTGCCCAAAACCCAGTAATAATGGATTTTTTGAAGACTTTATGTAATACTAAGCGGAAACTTCGGGCTTCTTACATTAGATATCACTATCCTACACTGAACCTAACACTAACCCTTACCCTAACCCCAACACTTATCCTAACTCTAAACCTAACCCTAACCCCTAACACTCACCCTTACCCTAACCCTTAACCTAACCCTTACCCTAACCCTAACCTCTAACCCTAACCATAACCGTGATCCTAACCCCTAACCCTTACCCAAATCGAGCTCGAATCGCTGTCGAAAAACCTGGAAATGTGGAGTTTTGTTCCGTTACTACCAAGGAAACTTCTGCCTTTTTTTTCTCTGTACGAAAAAGACTGAAGAACCAAATTCTCCCCCTGCTCTTACATCTCTCTCGCTCTCTTTTCTTCTCAAGCGCTGAACATCTTTTTGGGCAAGGTCATCAGCTCCACAAAGATTGCGAAACTGTCGACGACTTAGCCCGCTATTCCAAGGAAACTAACCATTCAAAGGCCTGCGGAAATCTCACAAGGCTGTAGAAAATCCTTGCAAAACAAATATATTGGCCCAATCAGAATGTCTCTTCATTTAGTTTGGAAGAAGGGCGGGCCTGGCCGAACGCAATTCCCCTTTCTGTACCTCTGAGTCGCGATTTAGCCAGACAAGAAACGATCATTCGAAAGTTCCGTATTTGAAAGTGACCGGGTAGGCTTTTAGAATGTTGCTGGTGATCAACTAGAAAATCAATATTTCCTGCATCCCAAAAGGGTTAAATGTTATTTAAGAGTAAAAGTAAACTTTTTAATTCCGACAGTCATATTCTTGACGGATAGTTTATATCCGTAAGCAGGTGCTGTTTCCATAGATTTCGCATTGGATCAAGCAGATCACCGGATTAAATGAGTAGTTCAGCATACTGAGTAGCTTGAATTCGAACTCAGTTCTTTTGCGACAGTTCCTAAATGCTACCTAGGGAACCGACATTTGGATATGCTGTCTTACCAGAGCCCCACAATGACCTAGTCTTCGAGACTGACGCATACTTAACATCGGTTACCTATGCAAAACAATGTTATCTCTGTTGCTATGGTCTTTTTAGGCAAAGAGTACATAATTAGAGTAGATTGCCTTCTCGAAAGCTAGTTGCTATATCGGCAACAGAGGGATCTCTAAATCACAAGTCAGGAAAGACCGGATGAACTAGAACAGCTTTGCTGTACTAAAGTAGCCTTAGAATAGTTGCTGCATGCACTGCGTACAAAGACCGGTTGTGTCGGTGAAAAGTGTCTATACGCGCGGGTTTAGTTCAGCCTGTCCAGTCCTCAGCCAATCAGGAAAGGATGCAGTTGTTGGCATCAGAGCTCGCGAGACATTAATTAACTATGGGTGTACGCGCGTCGATAGCGAGGGTGTGAAAGTAAAAAAGCGCGCGGAGGAGAGGATGAGTCAGAGCTGGACGCGCGAAGTTGCAGTGATCTCTGCTGTCCGACGTCTTCCATTGCATTGCCCGGCGTCATTGTTCAAAGCCAGCTGCCTCAAGGTCATCCAATACCTCAGTCAGCGCTCACAGTCGCGCTGACCTACAGAGACTTGACCTACTTCCACTCGGAGACACACACATGCGCCTAGGTTCTCGCGGCTGCCCAAGCACCACTCGAACAAGTCCCTCTTTCCCCACTCTCGGCCACTATACGTCACTTAGGACCACGGCGCTCCAGCGGAATGACGTGTTCTCCGAAGTCCAACTTCTTCCATCTATTATTTGTTCCTTTGTGTACACAATAAACTATTCCTTCCATTCTGACCTCCACTGACTTCTCCTCGCCTAAGTAACCGTGGTCTGAAGATCGCAGTTGCCTGGGTTTAACTTACTTAACCCCCTGCGATA